GGTTTGGTGGTAGTAATAAAAATATATTTGAAAATTTTAAATTTTTTTTGAATAGGAAGGATCGGGTACGGGATATGGGTAGGGTAAGATAAAAAAAAATTAAAGGATGAAATAGAATTTGTAAAATGTTTTCCTTAATTTTGGAAAGGAAGTCATTCTCCTTAAATTTGAGGAAAATGAGTTGATTTGAAAATAATTTCCAAACATTTTTACCCAACTAGACATGAGAAAATTGGTATATTTTCCTCAATACCAAACATACCCTTCTAAGTTTTTTGATTTTCAAATTGATAAGTTTGATTAAATTTGAATTTGCATTTTTCAAATTGATAAGTTTGATTAAATTTGAATTTGCATTTTTCAAATTGATAAGTTTGATTAAATTTGAATTTGCATTTTTCAAATTGATAAGTTTGATTAAATTTGAATTTGCATTTTTCAAATTGATAAGTTTGATTAAATTTGAATTTGCATTTTTCAAATTGATAAGTTTGATTAAATTTGAATTTGCATTTTTCAAATTGATAAGTTTGATTAAATTTGAATTTGCATTTTTCAAATTGATAAGTTTGATTAAATTTGAATTTGCATTTTTCAAGCTTGTTGTTGAGGCAACGTTCCCAAGATTATTTTCATTCTCCAGGGTCAAAGCCTCAAACTAAAGTCATTTAATTAAGGATAGATAGAAGTGGGACCTTAATGTTATCCACTTTTAGTTAACTTTTATTTATACTCCCTTCCTTTATTTTTATTTTTTAACTTGACACGAAATTAAGATAGTAAAAATGTTTTTTTGAATATTATGGTTTTAAACTAAATATATATAAAAAGAATATAACTTTTAAATAAAATAAAATTTTATGATCTAAAATATGTCATGTGAAAAGTTAGAATTAAAGAGCTATCTAAAAAAGCATTCTGTTTAAAATATATCAAAAAATAAAAGGAAAAAGGGTCTGAAAAATACTTCAATTTTGGCCGAAATTATTGTTACGATACCAAACTTTATGGAGGACCTTTTACCCCCTGTACTATTTAATAATGTATTTTAAAGGTATATATGTGCCCACATGGACACATTACTTTTTAAAATGATGCAAAATTTATGATGTCCACGTAGACACATATATACCTTTAAAATACACTATTAAATAGTACAAGGGGGTAAAAGATCCTTTCCAAAGTTTGGTACCGTAACAACAATTTCAATCAAAGTTAGAGTATTTTTCAGACCCTTTTTCCCAAAATAAAACAAACAAAGTGAAATGGTAAAAGTACTTCCTTTCTTTAAAATATTTTGAATATATGGTGTAATATAATACTTCTCTGCAAAATAAAATATCCAGTCATCTTGTTCAAAAGAATAATTAACTTTAAAATGGTCGGATTCAGCTCAATTAAATTGAAGTTTGTAATCCATGATGATAGTCGAGTTGGTTGAACAGACAATCTCATCGGTGGTTTCAGATTTGAAATTCTTGCATGTTTTCTCAATCGAACTTGTCATAACTTGTTTAGTGTTCATGGGCAAGTTTATGTGAATATGGACCATCTGAGAGGCAGCCCATTTTATTTCTATTGGGCAATCCAACACATTATGACTTTTTACTTAGTATAGCCACTTTTATCATGTATTTACAAGTTAGCCATAGTTTGTATTTATTTATTTTTGCAAGCGTCCGTATTCTTCACCTGGTTAAAAGGGAAAAGATTCAAATATATCATTGGACTTTGAGAAAAGGCTTATTCATGTCATACATTAAACGTTGGACACATCTATGTCATTTTAGTTTGAGAAAAGACCCATCCGTGTCATTACTTGTTAACGGAAAACAATTTCAATTTTGCAAAATCATTTTTTACACG